TTTAGTGTCTGTCCCCAGTGGCTAAGGTTGGTTCAGTCGGTTGTGTAGGCTTCCTGGTGGAGGGTACTAGTGCCTGTGTTCTGGTGGATGAGGCTGGATATTGTCTTTCTGGTGGGCAGGTCCACGTCTGGTGGTGTGTTTTGGGGTGTCTGTAGACTTATTATGATTTTGGGCAGCCTCTCTGCTAATGGGTGGGGTTGTGTTCCTGTCTTGCCAGTTGTTTGGCATAGGATGTCCAGCACTGTAGCTTGCTGGTTGTTGAGTGAAGCTGGGTGCTGGTGTTGAGATGGAGATCTCTGGGAGATTTTTGCCGTTTGATATTATGTGCAGCTGGGAGGCCTCTTGTGGACCAGTGTCCTGAAGTTGGCTCTTCCACCTCAGAGGCACAGCACTAACTCCTGGCTGCAGCACCAAGAGCCTTTAATCCACACGGCTCCTTCATTTGGGATGATTCGTTGTCTATTCATGTATTCCACAGATGCAGGGTACATAAAGTTGATTGTGGAGCTTTAATCCGCTGCTTCTGAGGCTGCTGGGAGAGATTTCCCTTTCTCTTCTTTGTTCTCACAGCTCCCAGGGGCTCAGCTTTGGATTTGGCCCCGCCTGTGCGTGTAGGTCGCTGGAGGGCGTCTGTTCTTTGCTCAGACAGGAAGGGGTTAAAGGAGCCGCTGATTCGGAGGGGGGTAGGGAGGGTCACGGAGTGGGGGACGGGCCTGCGCCAGCCTGAGGCGTCCCGTGCGTTCTCCCGGGGGAGTTGTCCCTGGATCCCGGGACCCTGGCAGTGGCGGGCTATACAGGCTCCCCGGAAGGGGGGTGTGGATAGTGACCTGTGTTCGCACACAGGCTTCTTGGTGGCGGCAGCAGCGGCCTTAGCGTCTCATGTGTGTCTCTGGGGTCCGCACTTTTAGCCGCGGCTCACGCCCGTCTCTGGAGCTCCTTTAAGCAGCATTCTTAATCCCCTCTCCTCGTGCACCACGAAATAAAGAGGGAAGAAAAAGTCTCTTGCCTCTTCGGCAGGTCTAGACTTTCCCCCGGACTCCCTCCCGGCTAGCCGCGGTGCACTAACGTCCTGAAGGCTGTGTTCACACCACCAACCCCAGTCCTCTCCGGGCGCTCGACCGAAGCCCGAGCCTCAGCTCCCAGCCCCGCCCGCCCCGGCGGGTGAGCAGACAAACCTCTTGGCTGGTGAGTGCCGGTCAGCCCTGATCCTCTGCGCTGGAATCTCTCCGCTTTGCCCTCCGCACCCCTGTTGGTGTGCTCTCCTCCGCGGCTTCGAAGCTCCCCCACTCCGCCACCCGCAGTCTCCGCCCGCGAAGGGGCTTCCTAGTGTGTGGACACTTTTCCTCCTTCACAGCTCCCTCCCACTGGTGCAGGACCCGTCCCTATCCTTTTGTCTCTGTTTATTTTTTTCTTTTGCCCTAACCAGGTACGTGGGGGGTTTCTTGCCTTTTGGGAGGTCTGAGGTCTTCTGCCAGCGTTCAGTAGGTGCTCTGTAGGAGTTGTTCCACGTGTAGATGTATTTCTGGTGTATCTGTGGGGAGGAGGGTGATCTCCGCGTCTTACTCTTCCGCCATTTTCTCGGAAAGTCTTTCCCTGTTTTGTTAAAATTTGTTTTTCTTATTCATTGTTTACCCTTAGGCCACCAGCTATTACATTTTATTGTTGTCAGGTCTTTTCTCTTCAGACCAATGATTCTCAACCCAGGAATCCAGGCAGAAGATAAGGAGAGTGGACAGAATGGGGTGGTGGTGGTGGTGAGGGAGGTAGAAAGTATAGTTTTTAAAAGGCATATTTGGTATTACGATGGCTTTGATTTTAGTCACAATATTTTAAGATTCTTAAAGACATCATATTTTATTGAGATATAATTTATATATCATAAAATTCACCAATATAAATGTCAGTGATTTTTAGCAAATTTATAGAGTTCTATAACCTTGATTACAATCTAATTTTAGAACATTTTCATCACCCCCAAAATATTTCTTGTGCCAGTTTGAAGTCAGTCCTATTCCTATACCCCAGCCCAAGGCAACAAATAATCTATTTTCTGTCTCTATAGATTTGCATATTCTAGACATTTCATATAAATGTAACCATACAGTACGTGGTCTTTCCTTTGGCTTCTTTCACATAGCATAATGTTATCAAGGTTCATCCTTATTGTAGCATGTATCAATACCTCATTTCTTTTTATTGCTGAATAATATTGTATTGCATGGATATAACACATTTTGTTTATCCAACTGTTGTTAGACATTTGGATTGTTTCCACCTTTTGGCTATTGTGACTAGTGCTGCTATGAACACTTGTGTATAAGTTTTTGTGTGGACATAAGTTTTCATTTCTCTTGGGTAGATGGTATTCATATAGTAACTCTATGTTTAACTTGTTGAGGAACTGCCAGACTGTGTTCTATTGTACATTCCCACCAGCAATGTATTAGGGGTCTGTTTTCTCCATATCCTCACCATCACTTGTTACTGTCTTGTCTTTTTTATTGTAACCATTCTCATGGGTATGGAGTAGTATTTGTGATTATGATTTGTATTTCTCTAATGAGTAACAATGTGGAACGTCTTTTTATGTGTTTATTGGCCACTTGTATATCTTCTTTAGAGAAATGCCTATTCAGATCTTTAGCCCATTGGATTATTTATCTTTTCACTATTGAATTGTTGGAATCCTTTATATATTCTGAATACCAGTCCCTTATCAGGTATATGATTTGCACATATTTTCTCCCAGCCTTTTCGCTTTTCACTTCCTTGATGGCATCCTTTGAAACACAAAAGTTTTAAATTTTGTTGAGGTCAGCTTCTCAATTTCTCTTTTATCACTTGTACTTTTGCTATTGTACTTAGGAAACCATTGCATAACCCAGAGGCACTAGAATTTACTTTAATGTTTTCTTCTAAGAGTTTTATAGTTTTAGTCCGTGTTCCACTTTGAGTTCATTTCTTGTATGGTGTGAGGTAGGAGTCCAACTTCATTCTTTTGTATGTGGATATCCAGTTGTCCCAGTACCTTTTGTTGAAAGACTGTTCTTTTCCCATTGAATTGTCGTGGCCTCTCTGTTGAAAATCAGTTGACCATAAATGTTAAGGTTTACTTCTAGACTCTTAATTCTATTTCATTGATCTATATACCCTTACCTTATTCTGTTCATTTCTAATTTAATTCTTTTGTAGTAGGAGAGCATACTTTGGTTTCAATCCTTTTAAATTTATTGAGATTTATTTTATTGCATAGTACATGATCTGTTCTCGAGATTTTTCCATGTGTGCTTGGAAAGAATGTATATTTTGTTCTTGCTGAGTGGAGTGTTCTATAGATGGCAGTTAGGTCAAGTCGATTGATAGTATTGGTCAGGTTTTCCAGATTCTTGCTCGTTTTCTGTCTCATTTTTCTCCCCATTATTGAGAAGGGGGTATTAACATTTTCTACTGTTATTACTGAATTGTTTATTTCTCTCTTCAGTTTTGTCAGTTTTTATTTAATGTATTTGGGGCTCTGTTGTTAGATGTGTGTATGTTTATAATTGTTATATTGTCCTGGTGAATTAATCTCTCCATGCTTATAAAATGTCCTTCTTTGTCTCTAGTAATATTTTTTGTCTTAGGGTTGGTTTTTAAAAGGCTGAAGGAACACTCATTTCCCCATTTCTCTACTTTGCTGCTTCTTATTCTACAGTTTGGGAAACCAGGTGACCAGACATTATAATTAAAATTATTATACCAAAGCAGCACTACTTTCCCCTCTATTTTTATATTAGGATTCTGAGTAAGATTTCATTTTATAAAAGAGGTTCTGCAGTTAAAAAATTTTGAAGTCTTTTTCCTACTTAAATTCTCTGATTTTTACCTATTTTTGTCTGCTTAGCAATCCTTTTGTCTTACTTATGGATCTTTGCTTTTGAGGTTTCTGGATAAGTTACCTTTAGTTAAGTGAATAGAGTTATTCTTTTTTTTTTGAATAGAGTTATCCTTACTTAAAAATGTCCAATCTAAAATGTTAACATTTGGGGATGTGAGTGAAGGGTATACTAAATTCTTTGTATATTCTTGCAGGTCTTTTTCCAAGTCCAAAATTATGTCAAAATAAGTTAAAGAAAAAATTCTCTACCTAAGTGAGGCATTGTTAATTACCTTTTCCCACTTGCAGGTAATACTAGTCTTATTGACTTTCAAAGTATATTGATTTGGCAGTGTAGAGTATTGATGAAGATATGGAGGAACTGGAATTCTAATGTACTGCTCCTGGGAATGCAAAATGATACAACCACCTTGAAAAACAGATGGCAGTTTCTTTAAAAGTTAAGCATACATTTTCTGATACAGCCATTCCACTCTTAGGTACTTTCTCAAGGTAAATGAGAGTATATGTCCATGTAAAGATTTGTACACAGATCTTCATAGCAACCTTATTCGTAATAGTCCATAAGTGAAATTCAACCCAAATGTCATCAAGAGGTGAATAAATAAACAAATTATGATATATCCAGATAATGGACTACTTAGAGGAATTACAAAGGGACAGGAGTAAGAGCTCTTGATGGAGAAGCATATGTTCATTGTCTTGATTTTGAAGATGGTTTCAGAGGTGTACATCTGTGTCAAAATTTATCAAATTGTACATTTTAAACACATGTAATTTACTGTATGACAATTATACCTGAAAAAGTTGATTAAAAGAATTTTAAGCCCCTTGGGGAAAAAATATGATGGATTGATAGAAGGGTATGAGAACTAGATTGCTAACCAACATTCATGCAATATGAAGACTTATTGAGCTATATGCCAAGTAGTCTGCTAAGCACTGAGGACCACAGTGGTAAACAAGATAAGACACAGTCCCTGGAGTCTGCTGGTTGCTAAGATTGGACAGAAAAAAGAACAAACTTCTTATTAAGAAAAAAGGGATTAAACAGTCAGGTGACTTTTCTCCTTAATGATTTCCTTTGTGGGGTGATTTTAATATATCCTTTTTCCCCCTTCAGGTTGCTATGGAAACATATGACCACATAAAAGGAAGTCTATTCTGATAATTCTGTTACCTGAGATGCAACTGGACTGAAGAGTGGAACAGGAAAAATTTTAGTGCCAACCTTAATTACAATGGATACTGATTCAGGAGGGCCAGCTAGCACAGAAGATTCTGAGAAACCTGATGGAGTTTCATTGGAAAGCAGAGTTCGTCAGGTTGCAGCAACTTTGACAGTGGAAGCTAGACTAAAGGAGAAAAACAGTACCTTCTGTGCTTCTGGAGAAACTATAGAAAGGAAAAGGTTCTTTCGAAAGAGTGTTGAGATGACAGAAGATGGCAAAGTTGCTGAATCTTCCTCCAAAGATGAGAGAATAAAGACTGCAACAAATATTCCAAGAGTAGAAAAGCTTCCTACAAATGTGCTAAGAGGCAGACAAGAAGTTAAATATGAGCAATGTTCAAAAGGAATGTCAGAATCCTCAAAAGATTGTTTCAAGGAGAAAAATGAAAAGGAAATGGAAGAAGAAGCAGAAATGAAGGCTGTAGCTACTTCTCCTAGTGGCAGGTTCCTGAAATTTGACATAGAGCTGGGAAGAGGAGCATTTAAAACAGTATATAAAGGACTGGACACTGAAACATGGGTTGAAGTTGCTTGGTGTGAGCTGCAGGTGTGTATACAATCTTCTTGGTTTTAATACATTCCAGTTTTAGCTGGCCTGGGCTTCTGAGTGATCCAGTATTAAAATGTATCATGGATTAAAATAAAACGAAGGACTTGTCCCCACATCCCTGAAATTATGCTCCTTTCTTAGATCCTCTTAGGAGCTCACGCCAAACTTTTGTTTTTCCTGTTGTTTTCCCCTCTGTTTTAAAGGGAAAAAGTCTATTCTGCCTTTCTTTGGGGAAATGCCCCTAATTCATTACCCTTAGGAAATTCCCGAAACTCTTAATGTCTCATTTTGAAAACTTTCAGTAAATGTATGCCTTATGAGTTGATTGTTATACTAAATATTTGAGAGTGTGATATGTTAGGGATATATGCAGTATGATATTTCCCATCTCTCTTTTTCTTTCAACAAACTTTTGGGGGCTCATGTATTGTTTTTCAGAACAGGAAATGGTTTTCTTGTTTCTTTGAGGGCTTCTAGTAATATAAACTCCTCTCCATGCCTTTGAGTTTACCTCAGAGAGGATCTCTGGAAGAAATAATCACCAGAATCTACTGAGCTTAGTCAACTGGAATGTTGTTTAGGAAGGAGAAGTGAAAGCATCAGAAGAATAGTTGAATTACCTAGATATTTGTTTCCATAATAAATGTTTATGTGGTACTTGTAACTAATGAAGGACTAAATGGAGACAGAACATCATAGAAAGGGTTATAATAGGAATAGTTTCAGACAGATGTAGGTTAAACATAAGGAAAAGCTTTGTGACCTCAGCCAGCTCATGGGAAATGGTCAGTGTTCACAAGAGGTGCTTAAAATTAAGATTAAATAAAGCCAATCACTAAGTACAGGTTTTTTTGTTGTTCAAATTCCAGTGGTCTCTGTGTGTGGGTGTGTATGTATGTACTATGATTTCACACCTTCTGAATTTACTATAGATTGCCATTTAGATAGGTTGAAATTTAGTCTTGGTCCCTGCATTTCTAGGAAACCTTTTGTTTCAAAACTTTACTCTGTTTTTTTCTGTTTTTTAAAAAACTTTACTCTCCTTTTGTTTCAAAACACTTACTCTGTCAGTGTTTGCTTTGTATGCAGATTCAGGAGACTACTGTCAGAGACTGAGATTCTGTAAGTCTGGGGTGGGATGCAAGACTGCAATTTTTTTTTTTTTTTTTTTTTCCAGTACGCGGGCCTCTCACTGTTGTGGCCTCTCCCGTTGCGGAGCACAGGCTCCGGAACGGGAGAG